CGTTTCAAACCGAATACGCTGTAATTTGGTATTTTGTAGTATCATATGGTAAAACATTTCACTCCCAAAAAATGATTAATATTCGCCACCTTTTAGGGGTAGTCCTTACATAAATCCTATTTTTATATTGAAATAATTATTTGATTTGTTCTGCGTTTTTTGGTTTATACCCATATAGTCGTATTCCACCATAGGAGCGGGGATTCTGTACTCGAAAATATGGAATTCAAATTTAGCCATATTTTGTAATCATTTAAGTTCGAAGATAATGAATATCGGTCCAATCCTAATGGTAAAAATTGGCTGAAAAATAATTAAATAATACTCTGTAAACGTATTGAACAAACCTTATTAAGCCCACATCATTTCCGATGATGGGACACATTAGGGTCAAAGAAGTTGCAAATGGTTCTTATTATGATTTTCGGTAATTTGAAGTTCTTCAATGAAATTGACTGTAAGTTGATATTTTGGTGTCTTATTTCCAATCGAAATGTCTACTTTCTACTGAAAATTGTCAGTCAGTTACAGTATTTCGAGAATTTTGGACAAAATCTAACGAACTGGGTCTGTTTGGTCCACATTTTTCCAACAATACGGTTAGATTTGAGAATTCCAGATTATTGATGGGTAAACAATTATTTGCAGAATTGCTTTCACGTAGATCTATGTCTTGACATAATCCCCATTTAAATGTATCATCTTGTTTTCTTGTCGAAATTTCATGCTTCGTTTTCATAGAGAATAAAAATCCATATGGGTGCAAGGATTCGTGGAGCTATAAAATATTCGACCTGGCTGAATTTGCGCCGTTTTATTTCCTGGTGTAAAACATATCAATGCTGGTAATTTGTGCTTATTTACTAAATTAATTTTAGGTTTGGGGCCTGAGATTTTTCCTACACAAAACTATCAGTCTGGGGCAATTTTGTTTTTCTATAGATAGCATATTAGGCCTTCGGAAGTGAAAAAGAAGATTTTCTTTAGAAAAAATCCACTTATAGGGGTTTGAGAATTTTTTCATTACAAAAATATCAATCCTGGTGGGATACAAAATTTTCCGAAAGACAACCCCTTCAATGTAGGGGGTCTGCTTTATTTTTTTGTAGTAAAAAACATTTCAGTCATTGTGGCTTGAGAGTATCAGTGAGGTGTGTAGATTTGTTCTATAGAAAAAATCACTTCGAAAAAACGAATAAAAACATTTTTTTTCTATTGTCCATAATTCGGAATTTTGGATACGATTTTCATCGGAAATTGTACTAATTTATTATTTTTGGTTTTGAATGTATGTCAAATTGCCCATAATTACAATGTGGCATTCTGGGACTATGCTGGATATACTACTTACTTCTTCAAAGAACAATTTGAATACGCCTATGGTAGAATACGCCTAAATGGGGGCAACCCCAATATACGAAACAAATCAGATAAAAATGTTAATATAAAAAGGGAGTTATATGGGGAGTATCCCTAAAAGGGGGCGAATTTTAATAATTTTTGATAGGGAAATTTGTTACCATATACGACTACAAAATACCAAAACACAGCGAATTTGGTTGAAAACCGCGCTCAAAACCTCCAATATGGCGAAAATTGGAGGGTACCCAATTCGGTGGAATAATGAGATTGAATTTCACAAAATAAATAGGGAAATACCGTTACATGGGTTTACCAGAATAAGTGGACCTATTTTTATAATCTTTAGCAAATTCGGTTGAAAAACACCAAAATACCGAAATTGGGGGGTACCATTATATGGAGTTTATCCGAAAAAATGGACCTATATTTATTATTTTTTGAGAAGAGATTTGCTACCCAGCAAGAACTAAAAGTACTAAATTACATCCAATTCTGTGGAAAAATGCTATCAATATCCCCAAAATACAGGCAAAAAAGTAGACCTATATTAAAAACTTTTAGTGGAGAAATTTAGTACTCAATAAGAACCCAAGGTAACAAATTTCACCGAATTCGGTTGAAAATCGCGCTCAATAACACCAAAATACCGAAAACTGAGAGTTATTCCTAAATCTGGAACGATATAGCTCATCTTCGATCTTGCAAAGTTCATATTTGAAATTTGAGAAAATCGGTTCAGATTTTATTATACCTCCCGTATATAGTTTCGTCCGATTTTATGTAAATGGTCTGATTGAGAAAACATTTTGCACAGCATTTTGAAATTACTACAAGTTGACGTCCGTGAAGTTTTGTTGGAATCGGTTCAGAATTAGATATAGCTCACATATATAGTTTCGTTAGATTTTATATAAAGGAGCACCATACTGCCAATATTTGTCCGATTAAGACAATATTTTGCACAGTGTTACTGAATTAGGTCCAGACAGCTGTATGCGAAGTTTTGTTAAAATCGGTTTAGATTTAGATATAGCTTCCATATATATATTTTCGTCCGATTTTATGTAAATTGCAAACCAATCTCTCAATATTTGTCCGATTGAGATAAAATTTTGCACAGAGCACTGAATTTTTTTATAAAAAATTCCTCGTCTATTTTTTGGGAACAATGCCGCAATCATTGCACCCAGATTATTTGTATAAAAAATACTTCTTTTTCATTGAGCCCGTGCATTTTGTAGAATAAAATTCCTTCCTCGTTGAGCCCCATATATATTGCGGTAACATTTTTAAACAAAAATGCATCGTCCATTTTTTTCGAATCAATGCCTCTCTCATTAAAGTCAGATTTGTTTTCTATGAAACTCATGCCAATTTGACACAGATCGAACTTTTTATACCCTTCACCACACTGTGATACAGGGTATTATGTCTTTGTGCATATGTTTGTAGCAGGCAAAAGGAAAGGAGATAGACATATGGTTCCTTTTGAGAATATGCATAGAATAACTTTCTGAGTCGATTTACGCATGTCCGCCTGTCTGTCCGTCCGTCCATGTATTTTGTGAACAAAGTACAGGTCGCATTTTTCATCCGATTTGGATGAAATTTGGCATAGGTCACTTTTTTGGCCCAAGGACGAACCCTATTGAAATTGGGAAAAATCGGTTCAGATTTAGATATAGCTCCCATATATATATTTTCGTCCGATTTAATGTAAATCGTACACCAAAGTCCCTATATATAATTCGTAATGAATTAGGCCTAGAATGAGGTGTGTTAAGTTTCCTGAAAATCGGTTCAGATTTAGATATAGCTCCCATATATATTTTCGTCCGATTTAAGGTATATGGTGTACCAAAATCCCTTAATATCTTTCGGTTTGCACGATATTTGGCACAGCGTAATAAATTTGGTCTAGAATGAAGTGTGTTAAGTTTCCTGATATCGGTTCAGATTTAGATATAGCTTCTATTCTGACCAAATGAAAAATTTAGTATGGGCTGCAGAATGACATGTTATGGATCCTTTTTTTACTGGTCGTCTGTTAGGATTCATCTTTTGAATATACCAAAAGTGGTGAAGGGTATCATATAGTCGGCCCCGTCCGACTTTACTACTTTCCTTACTGGTTTTATATTAAAAATGAATCTATGTTTGCTCTATAAATAAGTATTTATCTATTGAGGCTGATTTTTCTGACATTAAGTCGCTAAGGCCAAATAAACATGTAATTGACTGAGACAACAATAAATTCGTCATCCTTTAAGGTAGAATTTGTTCTATAGGCAAAAATGCTAAGCTATAAGTCCGATTTTTTCTTTACAAACAACCTACCTACCGAGACAAATTTCTTTTTATACTAGAAAAATAAATTCCCCAGTCACTGATATCGATTTTTTCTGTTGACAAATTATTACTAAATGGAAAAAAATCTCCAGCTACTTCGACTGAAGTGTATAGAATATATAGAGTGTTCTATAAAAATGGGCTATTTTTATCCAGGGTTATTTTTTTTTTCTAATGCAACAAATCCTCAACTGTCGATTTTTTTCTAACGAATAAATTCCTCATTTGTATTAAAAAAAAAAAATTACCTTCACTGAGACCCAATAAATGTATTTTTTTTATTAGGTCAGATTTTATCTGTTAAAACGCGTTATTCTCTATGGCTAGCTTTTTTATAAATACAAAAAATGTCGCATTACTGTGACCAATTTTTTTTTCTATTTTATATAATTTCCTCAGGTACAGAAACACATCATATTCATATTTTATTAAAGAAACATACCTTACCAATGAAGTCAGAAATCAGTTGTCAATTTGCCTCTGTCTTCAATATCAACCCCTCTGTGGCAAAAAATTACCTTTCCAACAAAGATTCCTTAACATTTTTTCGTAGTTATTGAGAACCGATTTTCTATTATACAAGTACATGCATGCATACATCCATATGTGAGTATACGTATGTGAAAGTTCAATTGATTTCACCATCTTCAAGGATTGAAAATGGAATTTCCCTATCGTTTTTTTGCATATTTCTTGATTTTCCTTTCATGACATACCGCTTTTATTGTTTTGTTGTTCGTTGTCCTTTTGCAAATTGGACATCAACGGTTTTGTAAAGACCAAGAGGCAGAGCAACCATTTTGTGTTCGGGGTTTTCTTTTATAGATTTGACTTTGCAATGATTGGGGACAGCTATTATCGGCACCCTTGACCACCAATTCATGGCGAGCTTTTCATCGTTTTGTGTGTGTTTTTTTTTTTTTTCATTCAACGAAGTACAAAGAGTGTGGACATGATGATATGTGAATGTTGATGTTTCTCGAGTATTATCAGGTTTTTCATCATGACCATTGACTGCCTGTCTGTTCGATGGTTTTGCTATTCTTTCATTTGCCCGGCATGCATTTTTTTGCATTTTTCCCATCATTTGTTTCAGACATATGCCGCTGATATTGTTGTCGTAGTTGTTGCTTTTTATGTACCTATGATGTAGTTTTATTCAGTTTCTTTTTTGTTTTCAATGCTGTCGTCTGACTTTTAATCCCCTTCTTTAATTTTTTTCTTTTCTTTTCATGATTTTCTCTTTCTTTTGTTCGATTTTTTCTTTGCAATTGTGTTCTTAATTAAAGACATTCCGTGAATTACTCCATAGCATGCTGGCATTGCAGAAACTCAAAGATGACAATGCCGCTGCCCTATTCGATATGTTATTGAACAATGTCTGCTATGTCCTGGAGTATCGGGAGACGATATTGCATTTGTTAATGAACTACAATGAGACGCACAGTACCAAGTAAGTATGATTAAAGCAAATATTTTGTGTTTGTGTATGTATGTGTATATTAAGAGTGTTAATGTATGTAGATATAATAATGAAAAGGGGGTTGTAATTTGGGAAGATAGCTAATATATCAAGTTTTCTCTAATATGAGTCCATATATTTTCTATAGAAAAAAATGTACGATTAACGAAGGTCTGATTTTTTTTCTATAGAAAAAATGCCTCATTAACTGAGGCCTGATTTTTGTGTATAGAAAAAATGCCTCAATAACTGAGGCCTGATTTTTTTTTCTATAGAAAAAAATAGCATCAATAAGTTTTTCTATAGCAAAAATCATCAGTCCTGGGGTCTGAGAATTTTTTTCGTAGAGAAAAGATCAGTCCTGGTGTCTGCGAATATTTTCTGTAGAATTTTTCATAGAAAAAATATCAGTCCTGTGGTCTGATAATCTATAGAAAAAATCATCAGTCCTGGGGTCAGAGATTTTTTTCTATAGAAAAAATCATCAGTCCTGGGGTCTGAGAATTTTTTCTATAGAAAAAATCATCAGCCCTGGGGTCAGAGAATTTTTTCTATAGAAAAAATCATCAGTCCTAGGGTCTGAGAATTTTTTTTTTTATAGAAAAAATCATCAGTCCTGGGGTCTGAGAATTTTTTCTATAGAAAAAATCATCAGTCCTGGGGTCTGAGAATTTTTTCTATAGAAAAAATCATCAGTCCTGGGGTCTGAGAATTTTTTCTATAGAAAAAATCATCAGTCCTGGGGTCTGAGAATTTTTTCTATAGAAAAAATCATCAGTCCTGGGGTCTGAGAATTTTTTCTATAGAAAAAATCATCAGTCCTGGGGTCTGAGAATTTTTTCTATAGAAAAAATCATCAGTCCTGGGGTCTGAGAATTTTTTTTTCATTGAGAATTTTTTCTATAGAAAAAATCATCAGTCCTGGGGTCTGAGAATTTTTTCTATAGAAAAAATCATCAGTCCTGGGGTCTGAGAATTTTTTCTATAGAAAAAATCATCAGTCCTGGGGTCTGAGAATTTTTTCTATAGAAAAAATCATCAGTCCTGGGGTCTGAGAATTTTTTCTATAGAAAAAATCATCAGTCCTGGGGTCTGAGAATTTTTTCTATAGAAAAAATCATCAGTCCTGGGGTCTGAAAATTTATTCTGTGGGCTGAGTCACTTTTTTCACTTTTCTATCATTCCTAAAGTTTTGTCCCCTATCTTAGAGTAAATTTTTCATAGAATATGATATAGCATAATATGAACATGAACATGCATGTATTTAACACTAGCAAACATCAACAGAGAGAGACTCCTCTATTCCTAAGATAAAGTAGAGAAATACCATCACATATTTGTCAGCACATACATGCACTCTGTCGGGTATATTAAAGGACAATGTCCGAAGAAGTGAAGTCTATGTTTCCTAGTTCATATCGAGAAGTTATGTTAAGCAAGTCTATGGACGAAAACAAAACAAGAAATGGAGCTGGAGAAATTTTCGTTAAATGGTTTGAGGTTTTGGATACTTTTTTCTAAGGAATAAATGAGTCCTGTGGTATGCATAACAAACCAATACCAATACAAAAAAATACTTCTACATATAAGACATGTTTCGATGACAATGATGATAATTTAGAGGTGGAGGTGTAACACCACCGACCATCGTTTAGTGAGTGAGTGAGTCAGTGTATTTGACTTTTAGTGTCCACTTCATTTTATAATAGGATTATTTACAGTTTTTCTTGATGAACGAGATGAATGGTAAGGAAATGATGAGGGCAGGGAAAGGTAGGAGCAACTCTACTCCTTCGAACATCGAACGTGACTGCTGATTGTTTACATATTGGTCCTACACTTTCATGAGAGCAAATAGAAACCTACCGCCACCCCTCCCATTTATTGTCCACTTTTCCTTAAGTCATTCTGGCCATGGATGGATGTCAATGTCTGGTGTTTTGAACTCTGATGAATAGTTTATTGTTGTCGTCCTGCTGCCGTTGTCGTCAGTCCTCTATATATGTCCATTGTAGACTAATAATGTTCAATTTAAAAGTGTTATTCTTCTATCGAACAGAATGGTGTGGAGGCAGGCAGGGGTAGTAGTTAAGCTAGCTTGGCCTGTCGGAAGAATTTCTCCCCAACTCCTTCCACAAATGTCTGGCATATTTGATTTTTATAATGAAAAAAAGGGATCAATTGGGTGACACCACCCCTCAAAAACTCTCATCATGGCACATGATATTTCAACACACTTCCATGATTCCGAAATAGAAATTTTTTTATTAGTCTTAATAATGTTATGACGTGCTCTGGCATAAAATTATTTTATTATGAGATTTTTCTTTCTTATTTTTTTTCCTGTTCCTCCATAGACTCTCAATTTACAGCTGGATTATTTACCTTCGTCATCATCAGCATCACCATCATCCTTAGATAATGAGAATTCAGTTTTTTTGTTTAAATTGTCTTCTGGGTGATTTTCTTATGGATGTAACAAGTAGGGATGTCGGAAGGATGGCCTCAGAGGAGACCTGATGTCCTGATATTTTTTTAGTCTACAATTTTTTCCTATAGTGATAAAACAAGCAGCCCGAATTTTTCTATAGAAAAAACTAGCAGTCCTGATGGTCTGCGAATTTTTTCTATAGAAAAAAATTGCAGTCCTGGTGGTCTGCGAATTTTTTCTATAGAAAAATCTGGCAGTCCTGGTAGTCTGAAAATTTTTTCTATAGGAAAACCTAGCAGTCCTGGTGGTCTGCGGATTTTTTCTATAAAAAAACTAGCAGTCCTGGTGGTCTGCGAATTTATGCGTTATGCAATCGTTATCCCTAATCTCCTTACAAAATATGCCATCGAAGCTTTCCAGTTTCGATTTTTGAAAATCTTTTCAATATTTCATCTTTTTGTTGTTGGCTTTTTTTGCAACAACTATTTGCCAACTAATTTAATTGTAATGCAAATATTGATTTTATTGTCATCTCTCGTTATTTCTATTCCGACAACAACAGAAGATCCTTCTAAAAACGAAGTGTATAGAAAGCCTGAAGTACATCAATGAATTTCTATCCATTACAGGAGTGATTTATCATTGTAATGATGGTTGTCATTTTCAATTAGTAGTTGTTCTTCCTTCGAAAAGGATATCACAACAAAGACTTGAATTGCAGCAGATTGTTGTGTCTGTCTGTTTGTTTGCGTTTCTGATCAATTATCCTTGTGACATAATACCGATATAATCTTCGGGCTCAGTTGTAATAGGAAGAAGGGTGTACTGAGTGTGGCGCGATGTTTATATTTGCGTCGTATCTTTAGTTTGTCCAGTTTTTTAATTAACTTTATTGAAAATATATTTTATTCGGTATTGATGTCATTTAGTTGTGAAGTGTTGGAATTTTTAAAGAAGATTTTTTCAAGGACCAACACAAGGCGTGGATTTATTTAAGAGTATTTTTCAAGGATCAACAAAAGTCGTGGATTTATTAAAGAATATTTTTTCAAGGACCAAAAAATGGCGTGGATTTATTAAAGAATATTTTTCAAGGACCAAAAAAGGCGTGGACTTATTAAATAATATTTTTTCAAGGACCAACAAAAGGCGTGGATTTTTTAAAGAATATTTTTTCAAGGACCAACAAAAGGCGTGGATTTATTAAAGAATATTTTTTTAAAGGACCAAAAAAGGCGTGGATTTTTTAAAGAATATTTTTTCAAGGACCAAAAAAGCGTGGATTTTTTAAAGAATATTTTTTCAAGGACCAAAAGAGGCGGGGATTTTTTAAAGAATATTTTTTCAAGGACCAAAAAAGGTGTTGACGCGTCATTCTGCACTTCTTTACTTATGTTTATTAATACCGACAGTAAATTAAATTTGAGTACCATTTAATACCAAATTCCATGACTCGAGCTCTACATGTTCACACAAATTCAAATTGTACCAAATTTAGCACACATTATTTCTAAGAGCACCCACCTCAACAATTGAACCAACAACAATCCTACACCCTAATAATGATTCCAAATTCAAATTTCAGTATTCCAAGTCTATGGCTCACACACAATTTAAATTGTACCAAATTTACTACACAATAGATCCTAAACGATTCACTCACAATTCAAATTGTACCAAATTTCCAATATTTCCTACCCCAATGAACCCAAACCCACATACCCACAAATTGATCACTACCAATTTCCAAAAAATCCAAGATTCAGCATTCCAACTCTATCGGTTCACTCACAATTAAAATTGTACCAAATTTAGTACAAAGTCGTATCAATTTCCAAAACTTCCTACATACTTCAATGCTACACCCCCACAGGGATCCTAAATCCAAGTTTCGGGATTCCAACTCTATCGGTTCAGGTTCAACTCAAATTGTACCAAATTTAGTACACAGTAGTACCTATTTGCAAAATTTTTACATATACCAATCCTTCACTCCCACAGTGTTCCTAAATCCAAGTTTCAGGATTCCAACCCTATCGGTTCAACAATTTAAATTGTACCAAATTTAGTACACATTAGTAAAAGTTTTAAAAAATTCCTACATATCTCGATCTAACAACTCAAATTTCATGATTCTAGCTATATTGGTCCGCCTAAAATTCAAATTGAACCAAATTTAGTACCATTTAGTACACATAAGTATTATTTTCTTAAACTGAATCGTTATCCCTAATCTCCTTACAAAATATGCCATCAAAGTTTTTCAGTTTCGATTTTTGAAAATCTTTTCAATGTTTCATCTTTTTGTTGTTGGTTTTTTTACAACAACTATTTGCCAACTAATTTAATTGTAATGCAAATATTGATTTTATTGTCATCTCTCGTTATTTCTATTCCGACAACAACAGGAGTTCCTTCTAAAAACGAAGTGCATCGAAAGCCTGAAACACATCAATGAATTTCTATCCATTACAGGAGTGATTTATCATTGTAATGGTTGTCATTTTCAATTAGTAGTTTTTCTTCATTCGAAAAGGATATCACAACAAAGACTTGAATT